GATGATGGAAGGCTATTGCTATTCCCATTAAAATTTCACATAAGAGCTCCCTTATTTAATTGCCAGAAATAATTTTACAAGACTTAATACCAGTTAAGATTAAAAAGAGCTCTGCTGCAAACTGAGAACATTGCATGATAAGTATAATTAAAAATCAGTATAATTTGAAAAATGGAAACAGGGTATTGCCAAAATTAACGTAGGAAGAGTCTGCTTGCTTGGTCTATTCTCCGGCCCTGAAGATGGAGGCAGTACATTTATCCAAGACGCTGGTAGACACGGCGGCACATCCCAGAAGACATTACTCTTCACAGACACCGCCGTAAGCGGTAAAATGTGAAATATAAAGAAATCCTCTTACAAATGCTATTCTTTACAGATGGCGTGCACGTCACTGTTGGTACGTTTATTACTAATAATCCGTGCTACCTTTCTTGTATAGGAGTGGCCATGGATATATTATAATAGTACCTTTGTAAATATTAAATCATTCTTATACTCGTATAGGTTGTTATCTATGACGATCTATGGTACGGAGCGGTACGGAGATACATACGGAATATCAGTTGATATGGGGATAAGGAACGTAGGGAAGAAGTGCTTGTGAGGAAAACAGAAGTTGGTTATGTCATAAGCGATTAGGATGGTGACGTGCAAAATAATGTGTATGTTGTTATTGTTTTTTGAGTTATTTTGTCTATTTTACATTGCACTTGGACGTGACAGTGCTACAACTCGAAATGGGAGGCAGTGGAATAATTTAAGTGACAATGTAAATGTGAATGATACAGAAAATAGAAATAAGCGAAGCGCACCCAGAAAAAGATTGATTGACGAGAATGATTGTGTGAAAGAGATTCAAGGATTGTGTGGAAACTTGCCATCAGACAGCGATGACCTGTTTGTTTTGGAGTGTATTCAGTCATTTAAGGTTAGTATCTAAATGTTGAAAGCACAATAGATCATTGAAGGTCGCAGTGCTAGGACCAGTTTTATGGCACACCCCTCATACTCATCTAAATGTTAAACATAGAGGATGATTCAATAGCCGAGTGGCCAAACTGTGGGAGGCTGTTGAAGATATAATTTGGAGCGAGAAATGTAAACAAACAGTTGTCCGATTCTCCATTGTTTTAGAGTTTTGGCGTTTCAGATTTAATCTTGACTGTGTGTGTGTTTGTTCATGTGGTGGAGCCTTAGAACGCCACAAGACTTAAATTTCTTGTGTGTTAACATTAATTCAGTGACAGAGCAGCGGTAACAATGAAACAAGATAGCACAGTTTTGCTAATGCAGAGTGAGGTGGTATATATTTTGTCTGTAGCTTTCATGATGGAAGCACTAGAACTGCATTATCAGGATAGGGGCCAACCGATCACACATGTGTTTGCAGTGGTACACCACTGCTCGACTGAAACAGGTACATTCATGCCACTAGCACATATTGGCCCTGGCAGTTGCATTGTGCTGAATGAAGAAGTATCTTGATTTTGTACATGCTGATGCATCGACTAGCAGTCGTTGGATTCCATATGAAATGAGCCCCTTTCAGAGTGAAGTGTACTGTATGCTGCATATGGAGCAGTTATACCTGTGGGATGTCTTTATATGAAGAGACAACCACTTGTTGAACTGTTCTATAATATTTTTTTTTNACAAAATCCAACTTTTCCACAACTGTATATATATATATTGTGCATTACAAACATTATGTGTATATGTATTTTAACACTCAAAACACCCATTGTGATAGTAGTTTCCAAAAAAGTATTGATGTCCCTCTGATGATGGTCTATAGGGACCAAAACATGTAAGGGTGTTAAGTTTTCAAGTATTAAAAACTTCAGTAGTCACACTGGATGGAGTTGTTTTGTCTTTGTTCTATAATATTTATTATAGTTGCACAGTATACACAGACGAACTTGAGTTTGAAGAATTGAAGACTAATAGTATAATACCAACAATATTACTGCTTGCAACACCCTCACCGCTCTTCTTTATATCGCCATATCTTCCTTGTATATCTTCCTGTTATATACTATAATAAATATTGTAGAACAGTTCAACAAAAGGTTGTTTCTTCATATAATGACAACCCACATACCCTTTACATATTCAACTTGTACAACGATTACAGTTGGGGAATAATATTCTTTGTCTCAAGTTGTGTTAGTGTCTTCTACACAAAACTGTAAATGAATCTGAATTTGGCAATGTTTTAGCATTAGTGCAGGTGAACCTCCAAGGAAAACTTAACAAGCTTACACTAACTATAAACATAATTTAGTTTGAATGATGAACTGTAGTATTGTGTCAATATGGGAAGATTGTGGAATAATGCTGCCATGCTGCCATGATGTATTTCATGCTACCGTGACTCTTAGACTAAAATAAACTACAAAGGACTCAGGATATCCCGTCACGTGGTCATAACTTCATTGCATGTGCAGGTTTAGTCTCAGGGAAAATCATTCCTCACCCCCTTTCTCCAATTCCTTTATCCCTCTCGCCCCTTTCTCACCTTCCTACCTTTCTCCTTTATTCCTTTCTGCTCTCTTTCATATTCCCATCCTCTCATAATTTCTCTTCTTCTCCATCCCCCCCTTCTCCTTTACATTACAATGACTGAGGCAAATTTTCGCTCAAAATGTGCCATTATATGAAGGAAAACATTGAAAAATATCTGTTGTGCTGCATGCTTCATTACTTTAACAGTTTTCTTGCATTCTTTGTGATTGCAAGCAAACAAATCAAACTAGCTTGTGCGTATAAGGTTATGAGCTTAGTTCTGTCATTGTCATTGTCATTGTCATTGTCATTTATTTACAGTTCCAAAAAAATCCATAGAGGCATCTGCCTCAGATACAGAACAAGTCAATAATACAATATAACATATAAATATACATACATAATCAGACATTCATCATCGTCAAAATACAACAAAACTACTGTACCATAATACATTCATAAATCAAAATAACATTTAAAATTACATACATGATTAAAATATATACATGAGGTGTCAATCTTTCTTCCAGCAGTAGTATTCTTCAACAGTATAAAAAGAACTGGTGATAAGAAACTTCTTTAACGCCACTTTAAATCCAGGAATGTCATAAGATAATTGTTTAAGCTCTGGAGGGAGGTGGTTATAAAGTTTGATACCAGAATACCATCCACCTTTCTGAAATATCGTTAAGTTTACCACTGGAAGATGCAAGTCATGATTAAATCTGGTATTACGTGTGTGGACATCAGAGTTTGTTATATAGCAATCTCTATTCTTGACAACCAGCATAAGTAAAGAAAATATATATTGAGACTGAAGTGGCAGAATATGTAACTCCTTAAATAAATTACGGCACGAATCTATATTACGCGAATTGGTAATAATTCTTATTATTCTTTTCTGTATTTGAAATATGATTTTTGCATGAGCTGAACTCCCCCAAAATATTATGCCGTAAGATATTATTGAATGAACTAGGGAGAAATAAACAGTTTTTAGGCACTCCAAGGATAAAAGAGGTTTTAATACTCTAATTATATAGGATGCCTTATTTAATTTGGGTATCATTTGGTCAATATGGGTTTGCCAAGACAATTTATGATCAATAACCAAACCTAGAAATTTTGTATGTCAACATACATACTATGTTTTTTGGGTAGGCACTTGTTTACTTGAAACAGGCATACACTAACTGTAATTTTTTGGCCCGCATGGCTATGAACTTTTTTCTGATGAGTGCCAGTTTGTTTTTTGCTGTGTTTGTTGCTGTAATATCATATGTAAGAGTTGCATCAAATGACATGAGAATATTTGGATGGTTTGAGTGATGCTCTTGAGAGAATATGAACATGCTTATGGCCTACTTGAAAGTACTGCCAAGTCACATATGGCTTTTTAAACTTGTACTTGCACCTGGTTATTAATAATTACTAAAGTAAACAAATGAGTTTGTAGTTGTGCACAAACTCATCCCACTAATATGCAGATGCATGACACACTGTGAACAGTGAATCATTAACCTTGGAAGTTAGTATTCCAGATCAATCAAGAAAAGTTGGCTGTCAGTATGAACACAGTACTGCCATTGCTATTCCACTGCAAGTGCCTTATGTAAATAAACAAAGCCCTGCCCAGATCAGTCCTGATTTAGAAATGGATTTCATTGCTCATTTGAAGTGAGCAGAGGTCAGATGATCATAAATGTAGGTTCTAAATGCAGTAAGAAAAACTTCTCAATTCATATAATCTTGGAGAGATGAGATAATACTGTTAGGGCTACATTATTAAATTTTTCTTTTTCATCAGATTTCACAACCAGATCTTTGGAACCATTTTAGTAGTAACACAGGGTTCCAGATGCGCAGCATAAAGCCTACTAGATACTTAACAAAATTCATTTGCTTGTATTTTACAGTATCCTTCTTAACAAATATATTTATACTTGAACTCAGTTTCTGTTAACTTGCTCATGATGGATCAGGGAATAATATAATTCTGGAACCATAGTAGAATATAATATATTTTAATTTAAAAAGAAACTTACTTGAATGTGTCTAATCCTTAATGATCATTACATCTGTAGAGCTTGTTGTGTCAGTGCTGTCTATTTTTCTACTGTTAACTGTAACTTGCAGAGGTAGTAAGTCCCTTTTCACCATACCATGGCATGTTCTCAGATTGTTGGAGGAGATAGCCACTAGATATGGAGGATACATGTGAATATATTGAATAAGTAGTTACCAGCGTTTGACAGATGGTGGTCTTCCGGGGGGCGGGATGTGGCTATCAACCTCGTGCCATAAAGGCTAGCATGCTACAAAATATTATACAGGGCTCCACACTTCTTTGAGATGGATATTCAGGGTCCATAAAAGGCATGGAATATCTTGACTATCTGGCAGCTGTTGTCTTTTCAAAGAGATTCTACTCCATGAAGGTAGTTGGTTGTGGATATAATAGTGGGTACTAAGTTGAATAAGAATTGTTAATTGGAGGCTTTGTTGATTTTTTCACTGTACTGCTCAGGCAGGATAATCAGTCCCAGAATTTGACCCACAGATCTTTTAAGAATAAGCCAGATAATGGGAGAATTTTCTTTGAACTTTATTTGGACATTGAAGAATATCCAAAGAAGGTTCTCTGTCACAATCACTGCAAATTACATGTGTTACAAGTGAGTTTTATTAACTCCTTCACTGCTAGTATCTTAAGTAACTCTCAGTACCCTCTGTGCTGAATTATTTTTGAGTAGATCTTTTATAAATAATTTAAGTGCAAAGTATGAAAATTTGTGATAAAATGTACCTAATCTTACCTCAGTGGGCTGCACCATAGCTCAAGCAGTTAGTTGCTGGCTTCCCACCGTGGTGGCCCAGGTTTGATCCCCGATCTGGTCAAGTGGGATATGTGGTGGACAAAGTGGCGCTGGGGCAGGTTTACTCCAAGTATTTCGGTTTCCCCTGCCAATCTTTATTCCACCAATTGCTCCACAATCACCCTCACCTATCATCTGGGGCTAGTACAATAGGCCAGAAGTGGCCGCAGTACGAGGGACTTAGTCCCACCCCACTAGCAATAAAAAAAGTATCTTACCTCAGACAGGGAACAGGCAGCAGAAGTTGCAAAAATGTTGAATTTTACATTTCTTAAGCTAGGGGCCAGAAGAATGTAGCCGTTGAAATGAATGATGCTTCATTACGTTCCCAATAGATGACTCTATGCACCCACCAAGTTTAAATGAGATTGATACAAAGAAACCTGAGATTTGAAAATCTATAAAGTCACAATACGGGTTTTTTCGATTGTAGCAAGGATGTCATGTTATTCAGAGATCAGCATATGTCGACCACAGCAGTGCAAGGGTTAATGGGTTGAATTATTTGAAGTGACATAGTGTCTTTCCCCTCATTTCAGTTTATAGTTTTGGATCTGCTGTGCATGTGATTAAGGTCTGGCTGTTGTCCCCTTGTGCACTGTTAATACAGTTTATAAAATGTAGAACATATGCAGACAGAATATGTTGTCTTGAATTTGTCCATCTAAGCTAGCTGTCATGTTTGGTCTTTTGTAGGTCCATGTGATGGGATGATGTCACAACAATTTCCCTTCTCATGCAGCACACCCACTATCTTTTAGTTTTCACTTTCTAACTGTGAGAGTAGTGAATGTGAATGGTGATAAATGCTGTGATCATTTGTTGTATTTTTTGTAGGAGAACCAGTTAACAAATATAAATATAAAATGTCAAAATGTGATATGGAAACATATGGTAGATCTGATAAGTGATGTTAATCTACAAGAAATATCACATCGTGCTTGTGGCACTGACCTTACTGGACTGGGGTGCAAAGCGACAGGAGGAAATGGAGGATTACTGGCATGTATGATAGACCACCGTGAGAGCATAAAGAGTGTACCATGCCGGGCTTTCATCCAGCGTATGGAGTGGGTAGCCTTCAGTGATTTTCGAATAATTACCCATTTCACTGAGGATTGTAAGAACGATATTTTAAAGACTGAATGTGGTCGTATGCAGGCAGATAAGGTTTGTATGTGTAAAATTATCTTATTTGGTATTTCTTTACAGTACATTGGTCAGTTGCACTGGCTAAGTTAAGATTTTGTGTGTTTTATCTGGTAATTATAACTAAAATGTGAGCTGTAGGTTTGGTGGTTGATGTTACAGACAGTACTTTTTGCTGGCTGCCTACTTGGGGGATGTGACACTATATACTATTTGAGACTATTAAATTCCAGACTGCTGACTTACCATGCTTATCATGTGCAAGATTTTCCCTCATCCCCCAACCTTGGAAATGATGGCAAAAATCATAATCCACAATGCAGGGTGCATCATTATCAGTGACTTAGACTGTTGTGTCATCATTAGAAAGTTATTGGATTCTGTTTTCAACATACTTCATTCATACACCTGTGGGAAATACAAACATGCTAGATTAATGCTCTTCTCACCAAATGACAGTGGGTATGTGTGAATGATGTAACAGCATTATGTATGTATGGTATTATGAAAGTTTATTAATATTGTCACAATTTAGGGTTGATCATAGATAGGGTTTTGAATGGTGAATGGATTTATTAACCACTTGCACACATGACTCATAAGTACAAGCACTTACAACAGTATCGCTGATCTCCACAATTCATGGATCACCACAGCACCACTAAGCCCTTTTCCAGCATGCTTTGTTTTCCCTTGTCATTGCTTGATAACGGCTTTCAGCAGTGGAAATTCTTCAGCTTCTATGGTAATGCTCTTGCCTGCTACTTAACACTCTACCACTGAACCTCAACTGAACTATAGTGCCATCTTTTCTGAGCTTTCCTTGCAGAACTCAACTCTCAACTGACTCACTTCCAGACTGGAGGCTGTTTCACACCAACCTTCTGGTTATCTCTTCACAGGCTGACTGTCAACAGGGTGTCACCTGGTCTAAGGCTAGTAGTAAGGACTATTGCTCATGCCCTTACGGCTCACAAACCACATTCCCTAACTGCTCACTCAAGACTGACTGAGTCACCCCAGTTGTTTTTCTTGTAACCCCTTTGCACAGACCAAGTAGAAAACATTATTTCCAACAGGAACTCTGTTGTAGAGACATGTTTACTGTGCTCTTGCATAGCGATTTCTGTTATCTCATTTGTTTCAAGGTCTTTACCTAGCAGTGAGTCTGTACGGCATAGTGTACTATGCTGCTTTTATTACTGCTTTTATTACTGCTTATTATTGCTTTTATTTCTTTTATTGTGGAGTCAGTATAGTAGCAGACTATGGGCTGGACGGTCAGGATTGATTCCTGGCAGGGGCAAGATTTTTCTCTTCTCTATTGTGTTCAGACTGACCCTGGTGTACACCCTGCCTCCTATCCAGTGGGTACTGGGTGCGATTTCTCCAGGGTTAAACTAACTAGGACACAAAGTTGACAACTCACCTCCATCTAGTACTGAGGTCAAGAATGGTGGATCTGTATCTCCACTCACCCATACATGTTCATGGCATAGTGCTTAATTAATTAAGCACAGGGACATCTTTACTACCTTAATTGAGAATTCCCTTATTATTCCGCTTTGGGAATAATACTTTACTGTTATGTTTTAACTTCATTTGGCAGCACTGGTCCCTTTTCACTTCCTGTAAAAATGTTGTTAAAGGTGGATTAATGTCTTCCAGCCTATGAATTCTTCTGCAGATTCAGTCTTCTGATAATGTCAAAACAGTAGGTGGTCTGGTTTTGTCAACAACCTCAGATGACATTTGATTTCTTGATGTCCTAGAAATGTTATCAGTACTGACATTTATTTGTGAATTACATAAGCTATTTTTAATTGCTGTAGGTTACACTGAGGTAATATATTCTGCTCAACCACTACCATCAGTGAAAACAGTAACAAGAACAACGTTGCACACATTAAATATCAAACTTCCTCCATCTCCTTCCTTATCCCAAAACATTATACTTTACTGATATTATTCTAAGTTAGCGAGTTTTCACTATAACACCCTAGAGACAAATAGGGACTTAAACCATCCATTTTATGTTCTACAGTTGACACCGTGTACCAAATGCTCACAGAGATTATTGTCAGTTGTCTGAATAAAACATTATGCTCAATAATTGTTGAGGAATATCACTGTTAGCAACTACATATACAAATTTATCCAAGATTCCTCTCTCAAGGTTAATTTTATCTGTAGACGAAATTGCTGGGGATCATTGGTGTGGAGTGCAATATAATAGTGGGATATGAGGATAAGAACATTATGCTCAATAATTGTTGAGGAATATCACTGTTAGCAACTACATATACAAATTTATCCAAGATTCCTCTCTCAAGGTTAATTTTATCTGTAGACGAAATTGCTGGGGATCATTGGTGTGGAGTGCAATATAATAGTGGGATATGAGGATAAGAACGTTTGGCACTGGTAGTCCGCATTCAGCTTCCACCTTCATAATGCAGGACGCAGAACTAGTAGATAATCCAATTCCAATTTAGTCAAAAGCTTGGTTGATTTTAGTTGAAGGTTAAAGCATGCCACGTGGTATAATGTTTTGTTTCTCTGGCCTCCTTTCTTTTTAAACAAAATTTGTAGACATGCCTCACAATAGGGCTTTCAAGCTTTGAGTTGCTGACATGTGTAACAGATCAAGCATTCATTAGATGTTTTGCATTCATTGAATACGTGAGAAAATATTGATACACAGTGGGATGGTTCATCATCTGTTTATTGAATTAAAAGAGAGCCTGTGATGCAGGAGAGAAATGTTATACAACATTCTTATTTACCATGGTATTCTCATGAAAGTGGGTAGGTTAACTAAAATTTGTTCAAATGAAATTTGTGATATTAATTAAATTGGTTAACTCATAAAAACCATAAAGGAAAAACAGAAGCTGTAATAGACTGGGAAGGAGATTGGTCTATAAGTAATCACAGAGGAGAGATATATATTCATGTCTTGTCATTTGTGTTGATATATAGATAATCACTGTGTTCTTGTATTGAGAGTATAAATTTTTGGTAGTATGGTATTGTAATAGACCCTATGTTTTAAATAACATATGCCTGTATACAGTTAAGATGGTCATGAATGGTTTAATCACAACTCATTTCCTTTTATCCTGTAGAAGAATATGTTAATAAATTGTTTTCAAATTTTAAGGTTCTTGCTATGAAATGACTGATTGTATATACTGAATTTTTATTGCATATTCTAATTTTTAAATCCTGATGAAATGTACTATATTTGGACTGTTAAATTAAGTATTTGTAGTTATGTGATCGAAATAATTGCATCAAACTTATATATTATGAATAGGTCTTTTGTATTGATTTATGATGGTGACAACGATAATCATATATCTGCATAAATTTAATCATATTTGAATATTTTATGTACAAATTTTGAATTGTGATTGTATTGCATGTTGATGGATTCTTTGTTTTTATGTAAGTGTTTATGTATTTTGACATGTTGTATATCCTATGGCATCCGGGACCTGAAAAGGATCTATGGAATTTAAAATAAAGTGAAAGTGAAAGTGAAAGTGAAAATTAATGTGTGGTGAGACATTGATCTCAGTATGCTGGCAAATTTTGCCTTTCTATGGTTGGAAGGAGATGAATTTGAGGTCTTGGACCAAGCTAGAGCTCTGTCTCATTACAGCAACATTGTTTGTGATCCACCCAGAGAGAGCAGTTTCCTGGCCATTGGATAGGGAGGGGAGGCCCATTCTCTTGGCCTATACCATCACCAGATTAGATTCCCCTTGACTTTTTTTCTTGTGGGCATATGTTAAAAATGCCAGGTATTGGTACTGGCAGGGCCTCCCTTGCTGGACAGGTCAAAGGGTAGGCATCAGACGAAGAGAGACACCAAAAACTGATGTCGGAAGCAGCGTCATCAGCAGCGACTTGAAGCACAGAGCAAATGATGCTCGAGATGGTTCAAGTTCGTATAGCAACAGGCGTGACCAGAGTGGTTTGAACGGCTGTTGTACTGCGATGTGGAAAGCAAATGGAAAAACTACCACATTATCACTTTTCCTGGATAGTCTCTTTCCAAAAACAGAAGATCGCATTAAGTGGAGAAACTGTTTTGGAAGAGACTGTGGACCTGTCGCCTGACAGATTACTGATGATGATGATGGGTGTTCTTAGCATGTGCCCAACTTAAATGAATTCAAAACAATAGCTGCTGTTTGAACAGTGTCTCCAGAAGTGAGGTGTTTGACTTGGTGATCTATATTTGGTCCCCATGGAAGTTAGTTCAGTCTGAGATTCTGACAGCAGAGAGAATTCAAGAGAGTAGAGACCAGTCCGAGATTCACACAGCAGTGAGACATTCACAAGACAAACATCATTCAGAAGGAGATGAATGTGTGAGCTGTTATAATCAAGTGTAATTGTAGTAGAGATGTCCAATAAATCCAGTCATGAAATCTAGAACCCGCAATTATTTGTCATGCTACCCCTTATTCATGACAGGTTGTTGTTGGAAAGTGATTATGACTGTAAATTCATGACATTTCGCTGTCAGAATTGGTTAGATGTGATCAGTTGGACCAAATTATTGGATTTAAGATTGCTTCATATGGTTATTTCGCCACATTATGGAGATGCAACAGATACTGGAAATGCTGGCTGATATAAAAACAATGCAAGAAAATGTGGATGCCAACCGAGAAGAAATGCTGACAAAAATCGGCACCATTATGAAAGTGATGATGGCCAAAATGGACCCCGACCAGAAGAAAGTATGGCAGAAATGAAAACCATTCAAGACAATTTAGATGCCTATCAGGGAAAGACAGAGGCCACGGATTTGAAGGCAGATCCAGAGGACATGGAATTTGAAGTGAAGCACAGGGAGGTCCCTAAGGAGCAGGCCACAATGAAGCCTGTCAGAGGACTGAGGAAGCGGCCTAAGGACTGAAATCTGGCCTTAGAGCACTGCCAGAAGCCAAAGGATTGGACATGGCTACATTGTGGATCTGGAGGAAATTGGCCATCACCTGCATAAAGATGTCCCAGTGTACAAAAGTGGCACGACACAAAGGAAACGTCATCAGGAAAAATCAGATGAGAGACAAGGCCAGAAGAGGAACTTAAAAAAAAAAACAAATGTTCAGAAGAGACATTGGAAGGCCCCAGAATACAACAGTAGCATCAGGAACCTAGGCCTGTGACAGCAGCAACAAGGCAAGAGGGAATTCACCAAGATCTACAGGAAAACCACTGGACTGGAGATTGCAAAGTGAATCACCAGATCTCCTGCTGGGCTGCAAAAGATCAAGGATTGGATATGTTTTGGAGGGGTCACCCCCATTCAAAACAGAAGAAGAAGAACCAGCTATCAAGGTTAGTGTAAGAAGATCCAGAATTGTGGGGTTGTTGGCTGCTCTGGATAGTTTCACCCCCACCGTTGGAGCAAAAGAGGACAGAATAAGGTTGATGTTTATATACCCAGACTGACTGGAAGCTTAGTGGGGAGTCACTCAGGAGGAGCGCCCTTAGGGGGGGAGTAGTTGTAGCTGTTGGAGAGTGGTCACTGAAGGAAAGACCATGTGACAAAAAGGCGTCATGAGCAGAACCCTCAGAAAAGAAGGAACAGTGATACACCTATAGGCCATTTGGGACGAACAGCCTTGAGGAGGGAGCAATGTGACATGATGCCTGAAAGCTGGAATAGTGGAGCCAGAGCCAGTCATCCATTGCTAGATGACGGCTAGCTAAAACACGTTTCCGCTGCAGTGAACATGCTTGTATAAATCAAAGCATTATACAGAGATTGACACACGTTTTGTGACAATGGATAAAACAGAATAACCAAGGACAATCACCTGTTCGACTTGGTGGTTTACATTCGGTCTGCATGGAAGTTAGTTCAGCCCATGATTCTGACAGCAGAGAGAGTTTGAGAGAGTAGAGACCAGGTCGAGATTCAGACACCAGCAAGAGATTCGCAAGACAGACGTCGTTCAGAAGGAGTTTAGTGTGTGAGCTGTTGTAATCAAATGTAATTGTAAATAAGTGTCCAGTAAATCCACTCAAAATCTAGAACCCACAATTATTCATTACTCTGCCCCTTATACATGACACTATGTATATAAAACAACCATTTTTCCAGTTTTTGGTACAATTGTAGTTTCTGTCTTTTAGGGAGGAACATTAATTTAAAGTATTAGAATATAAAAATGCTCATTGAAATATTTGGGTGAAAAGGGGATGAAATATTGTTTTGGTAGTTGTGGTTATTACAGAATGATGGTCTTCGTGATCATTAGTGGAATAAAATCAGTATCTTTGATAAAGAGACTACAAATTTATAAACTTAACATAAGATACATCTTGGAAAGCAGTCATTTGGAACAGAGAACAAAATGGAAGGATAATATTAAGAAGAACCTTAATTCACTGCCAAGCGGCAGTTGCTTGGTAGGTATAGTTCACTTGCAGACCAGAGCCACGGAGTTTGTTGCTTATAGAGATTGTTATGGTAGGTGGATGGAAGGGGCTTAGGATCCTGTCAAGTGGTGGGCTTTGGTGCTGGAGGCATTGAACCATAAGAGTCTATCAGAGGTTAGGTAACTTTAATTATGGAATGAGGTGTGAGAGACAGGCCCGTATTGCCATGTTATATAGAATAATTTTAAGCATTTGTCAAGTAAAATAATTACAGCATTATTTTGTAGTCTCTGTCCCAAGGACAAACCCTGGCCTGCCTCCAAGAACACATTGATGCATTGGAACCTGCCTGTCTAAAACAAGTTTTACACTTGTCAGAGCTACAAGCTGATGATGTGACATTTGATCGACAGTTATATCTTGATTGTACAAATGACCACCTGCGTTTCTGTCCTGATGTAGCTCCAGGAAGTGGAAAAGTTTATAAATGTCTGATGCAACACAAAATGGACAGAACAATGAGCTCTAAGGTATGTGTGTGTGTGTGTGTGTGTGATCGTGTAAATTAAGTAAGAAAACAACATATGGCATTGAAATTGATTGAATCTTGGTTTATTTAGTAATGCTTTAATAATGGATAAGCTATGTATCATTGAATAGTAGAGTATTATGAATAAATAGTTTTGAAAGGAGCAATTATGCTCTATTTTAAACGTGGTTGATGCTGGTTTCTAATGCCGCACTTTGACAGTTACGTCATTTATGCTTTTTAACCTCAGCTGGTTGGCATATTTGTAACTCATTTTCTATTTGAACACCATTTGGACATTATCTGGTTGTTCGGCATACTTTTGTTGGGTTGGATGATTTCATGTTGTTGAGAGATCTCCACAGTGGTATCTAGGATCTGAATAAAAGGCATTGTGGGTGACTGAAAATTGCGTTGAATTTTGCCTTCGCTCATCTGTTATCATGAGTGAAAGTTTCTTTTACATGCCACAAATATACAACATGCGACCCTCAGGCTTCACTTCCATTCGAGAAGAATTTGTTATACAAATTTCACTTCTCTTAAAAGTCTTTGGACCTCAGCCAGGTTGGAATCCATGAACCTTGGGTCTAGTGGTGAGCAAATTACCACTGTACCATCGAGGCTATCCCATTATTTTCATGGATACATGGACAGGAATGGTGACAAATATGACAGTGACCTGCAGACCCTATGTGCTTCTGTTTGTTTAACTTGGGTGGAAAACGGCTTTATAGTTATGAGTATTGTGACATTTCAGTGCCAAGAACATTTGACTCGCCGTCAGAAGTTAATTGCACAAGATTACAAAGTCAGCAAGGGCTTGGCAAGGATGTGCAGAGAAGATATTAAAGCCTCTCACTGTCGTCGTTCTGTCTCTGAAGATAAGGAAATACGTCTTGCACAAATCTTGCTGTGTCTAGAAGGAGTAATACGCAATGGTAGGCTGCTCCTGTATATTTGATGTTGTTTCATAATCTGTGTGGACTTGTTTCATCAAGTATCTGTTTATGTCCATAGGTACCAAGGTATCCCATGACTGCCAGATGGAGATGATTGAGCATCGCAAAATTCTCATGGAAGATTACCGTTTATCTCCTGAAATTGTGACTCACTGTTCTGATGACATTAATAATTTTTGCAACACATTGGAAGTTGGTGGGAAGACAATTCATTGCCTGATGGAACATACAAGGACAAAGAAACGAAAAGGACGAGTCTCTCCACAGTGTCAGAGAGCAGTGAGTTCGCTCTTCAATGAACTGGCATAAAGCATGTTGAAATTTCACAGGAAATTTCTAAAACAAACATAAAATGTAACTAACCTCAGTGAATTTAAATGATCTGCATTTGTACATTAAAATTGATCTTAGGGAGGTGCTGTGTGAGGGTGTAGACATAACTGAGTTGGTTTATGATAAGGTCTGGGAAAATGCCTCTGTGATGACAGTCATGAATCTTCAGGTTTTGTAAAAGGAGGGGAATTTCTTGTCATGTTTAATAACTATTTACTGCTGAAGGTGGATATTCTACAGAGTCATGTTTCTACCCTAAGTCTCTTCATTACTGTTACAGCTTGAATTGTTGGTGAAGGAAGTAGATGCTGGTGAAGACTGGCGAGTGGATCCTGTACTGCGTGAAGCCTGCAAGCCTGTAGTTGATGTAGCCTGCAATGAAGTGAGGGGAGGAGATGCAAGGTAAGCCAACCCTGTACTCCACTTCCACATACAGATAGACTTGTGTGCATACGTATATAAACCAGTACATCATTGTTACAGAGTTATGTCTTGCCTTATGGAAAAGCTTGGAACTGATCACATGACTGCAGCCTGTGAAATAGCTCTATTGCAAATACAGTACTTTATAGCTCGTGACTTCAAATTAGATCCCCAGTTGTATCGGGAATGTCATGACAGTGCTGTTCAGCTTTGTCATGCAAAGAAGGATTGGACAGATGACAGTGGTCAGATGGACCCAGAGAGAGGGCCCTTGGTGCTCCCATGTCTATATCGATATGCCTACCATTCAGAGAAAAAAATGCAGGTCAGTTGATACAAGAATCTGTCTTGTTTTTATGAGAAACTTTATACAAAGAACAGAACCTTTCTTATGGCAATATTTATGATCAGTTGAAACCAGCTTGTTTGGAGGAGATCCGACGCGTGATGCGACAAAGAGCTGTCAGTGTGGATCTGCAACCAGAGGTGGAGGAAGTGTGTCTAGATTATTTGGCACTGCATTGCCCTGGTAAAACAGGAAAGGGCGAAGAAATGGTTTGTCTGCAAGACAAGTTAGAGGAGTGAGTATCCTCTGTTGCTGTCCTATCACAATTCTTTAATTATAGCCACTGGTAACGTGTCATGTAATTCCAGTATGTGTAGTTAGCTATAAAGTTTAGTTCAAAAGTCATCAACCTGCAAGAGATGTCTTGTAATGCTAATTGATCATTTGAGACTAAATATTCATGAAGATGTTGAAGTGACCTTGTATTTACTGAGACATAGCAGTCACCTGAGGTGTTGTTGATTTGCATCATGCTGTGTAAAGAATTTCTTGATATGTGGGCCACCTATACTATTCACACCTTACCTCATACATTTTACATTTGATATTTATTGTCCTGTCACATGAAAATGACTACACCACAGGTTCTTGTAGGAAATGGATTTGTTTGGCATTAGTTTGTCTTATCTATAACTGTGTAGAGGCATTTATAAGAGTTTGCAGTCAGTCATTCAGCTCCCTTGGTTTCTTTCTCTTGCCCTCCTTCATTGTTGTCATCTTTTCAAGTCTTTCCCTTTTTAGTCCCTTGTTGCACCAAGGTAGCAGGCTAACTAGGAGTGTGCTTGAACCAGAGTCAGGACAGTGTCTTATTTGGTGTGCTTCTTTACATCATATCATAAGGGACTGCCTGTGGAACACTGGTCTCAGCATTTCATTGATTGTTGTGGCTAGTGGGATTTGTGTTTCCTTTGGCTAGTAACTGGATGACTGCAGAATTTTTGCAGCTCCAAGGATTGAGAATTTGTATATTTTAGATAACCCATCACATTGATTCATAAGGCTGTTCCCCCAAACAGCCTCCTGCTAAGGTGCTAATCATAGTAGATATACTGCTGTCATCACTGCTACTGGGGAAAACCTGCTACATCTATGTCTACCCTTTCAAATGGTGACACGACACCATACTGTTGCTTCAAGCCCAGGCTCTTATAAGCAGGGTGTGATCAGCAGTGTCCTACATTCCAGACATCAAACAGCCTCTGCCTCCTGTAGAATCAGTGCCACACCATCATCACTCAGCTGCTCTGTCCTCAGGGCAGTACAGTCTGTTTAGTATGGTCTGCTACAGAGTGCATCTCCACTGGTATCCTTCTGCCTCTGGCAGCCTTCACCAAAACTGTATTCAATATATTGGCCTTTCTTCAGGGTTGCTTAGGATTTTCCTTTCCCTTATTTATTCCTTAATTACATTTATTTAAGTGAACGGAGTTTTCCTAAAAAAAAAAAGTTAAAAAGCTAAAAATTTAGGCTTGAGAATTCACCAAATGTTTCTTATTTGTCCTCTTATTTTTGGCCATTGTTAACAGACTAAGTCCAAAGTGTCGTGAAGCAGTGGGAAACTTTACAGAGGAGCAAGCGGAACATGTGGAGTTGAATCCGCTCATCATGTCCGTTTGCCAGGGTGTAATGGAGAGGCACTGTGAAGCTGAACTTAAGATGGGAAATGATGAGGGAGATATCATGGAGTGTTTGATAGAGCACAAGAACGAACCAGATATGAGAGCAGACTACAAGTGTCGAGCTGCAGTAGAGCATTTCCAGCTTATCTCTCTCAAGAGCTACCACTTCACATATAAGTTCAAGGAAGCATGCCGTCTCCATGTAAAGCGGTACTGTCCTGCATCTAGGACCAAGTGAGTGATATTTTTTTTATCAATGCTTATATCTTCCACTGTATTAATATTGCCTTTTTAAAAAAGTAAAGCTATCCCTGTACCAGGCCTTGAAGGCCCATAGGGTTGTGAGACATTGAGGGTCGCACACTATCTAGACAATCATCTCAAACATGGCGGTAAGGTTGTCAGCCTTATGTGCCGGCCGTGCTTTACTCCCCAGGAAAATTATTTAATTAATTCCTGGTACTCATTTCTGTTAGAGGCTGACTAAACCTTGGGGCCTAGTGCAGCTGAAAGGATTAGGTCAACTGAAAAAAATCCAGTGACCTCATTGGGACTTGTACCCGCAACTTTCAGCTTGTAGCATAGCCCCTCAACCAACTATGCTACCGCATGCTCCTTTATTGCCTTTTAACATCTCATTTTATCAGTGAGTATCATGTTTATTTAAATGTGTGCTGCTCTTATGGAAAGCAAAAGAACTTAATTTAATATTAACATTTGTTACAACTAAAGGCACCCAATCTTCACAAGTGTGGTTTGTAAAATAAACTGTACTGAAATCTTGAAATTGATCATTGTGACATGGATGTGTATACAAATTTGTAAATAGACTATGGTTTGTTTCATACCTGTCTTACTTATCATGCTTAATGTGAAGTGACTTTAATATCTTCAGCCCTTAAAAGCAGCACTGAATCTAATCCAGTTTCATGATGAGGAGGAGGTGCAGTGTGTCATGCAAAATTGTGTTGCACAACCAGACAAAACCGTTTTCCACCCTGGCATCATGGGACTGGTAAACTGTTGAGAGATGTGTATTAAGAAACGGTATGTTGACAAGTAGTGAGAGTTGCAGTGTGGAATGTTACAAGCACTTCTTTTCTTTTCAAAATAATTGTTTCCCTTGAATTAACCCTTGGTTATCATCATTCACCGCTGCTTTTAATTCTTATTTCCTTTATATAAATGTTCTTCTGCCATGAGTAATGTTGGCATCATAGGCGATATTAAACTCCACTACAAGAGTGAAGCTACATGCATTGAAAACCCTATTTAATGACTCTGGGGGGAATTGTTGTCATACATTAATTTGACCTTTTCACTAAGTAGGGGTATGCAAAATTAACATTCACAAATTTAAAATCTAGAGCCAGAAATAGAGCAAATATTCCAAAATTATTATTCTCTGCATACATTTCCTATCTTGTTTATCTTCTTGCCTGCTATCTTAAGATTCAAATATAGAGTTTAATGAGCAAATCGAGGGGCAAGAGGCCACATGGTTGATATAGGCATAGATGGAAACATAATGTTACGTGTAGGGTGGTACGGTTGATGAAAATAACAGGTTCTAGTTCAGATGATTTGATTTATTAGCACCTTGGTAACAAGTTCTCTTAATCACACTTAAATACAACGCTATCACTGATTTACACACTTTCCAGTTCACCGTTGCACACGCATTAGGATTCTCCATCTTCACTAGTCATCTCCTAGCAGTGAATGTCAACACAGAAACTATCACTTCAAATCACCATGAAGTCTTCTTGTCTTCAATCACTCTTGAATGTTGGAACTAAAAATTCTTCTGGACTTACTCCTCTAGCTTACAACTGCCTTGTAACTGCCCTGAACTGAACTTTCTTCTGCATTTACTTCACATATAAGCACTCTGCACAGACTCCGTGGGAAACACTGTCCCTATTGTTGATGATGTCACTGGTTTCATAGCATGGTCTGATATGCAAAAATGTGTTTACTGAGCTGTTGCCTAGAAGCGGGTCGCATAACCCCTTTTTCCCACCGCTTCTCAGCGTAGATGACAGAAAACAACCTCATCTATTGTTGCATGTTGGACCGTGTTTACAAAGCTGCTGCCTTGCAGTGCATTGATCAAATCTGTTAGAATATTACAAGAAGTTTAGTTTTTCAAAATAAGGAAAGTAGGCTAAAAATTTCTGAACCAGCCAAGTAACAGCATCTCAAGAAAAACCATCATGGAAGTAGTCAGTTAATTAGGTAATAAATTAGTTATTGCTGAAGGATGAAGAAACCATATTCTGTTTAACAACATTTGCGCACTGAAGTTGACTATTCTGTATGTGTGCATTTTTGTATATGTTGGAGAGAGAGATTGAATTCCCTGGTGGACTTTATGTTTGCTTCTGTCTTTCAGGTTTGATGTTATCTTGTGCCTCAGTGAACAAGTACGGAATGATACCCTCCGTGATGCAAAACATTCAGTTTCCAAGGAGTGTCGTCAACAGCTAAGGGCTCAGTTATTTCAACAGCGGGAGAATATAGACTTTGATCCAAGACTGAAAAGAGCCTGCACAGATGACATACAGAAATTCTGTCCACAGGTTCAAAAAGGAAGTGCTCAGGTATAGAGTATGCACATAAGCTAACGATACAGGGACATTTGGGTTTATAAAAGTTTTGTCCTTTGGCAAAATAAGGTCTGACATCATTTATTATATTTTCATTAAGACGAAAGTGTAAAATAACTTCAAAACAAGCCCATTATTGTAGAAGTTAATACATACTTTGAGTGCACACTTTATTATCAAAAGTCATTACAGAATTCTTCTGTCTAGAAGTGTCAGGCTTTTATTAACCTTTATTGGCTGTCCTACACATTTTCCTGCATTTAAAGGTAAGCCCCATTGGCTATGCTTATAAATGCCTCCAATACAAGAGCACACACAATTCTAAGTAACAGTTATTTAAACATAGTAAAATTCTACTTGCCATTTCTTGTTTCATATTTTGTGTATGTATAGTGTACACCCTTGCATCATCCATCTGTTTGTGACTCTGGTGAGGTGCGCCTCAAAGCACCCCAAATAACAGACAATAGTCACAATTTACCCAAATTGTGAAAGGTGCCTACAAAAAAATGAATCAGCCGCACATATCCTGTGTGATTGTGAGGTCATAGCTTATTTAAGATTTCATCACTTGGGTCAGTTTCTATGGAACCAAGTGAGTTTTATGACACCCCCATAACCAGGGTCCTACACTTTATTAATAAAGGGCTAATCCAAGGGGAAGCACAATAGGTCATTGAAGGTCGCAGTGGGGGGGCCGGTTTTTATGGCGCACCCTTACATACACACATACATACATACATACAGTCACAATTTCACAGCTGCTGGGTTGTCCACTAGCTCATTCATCACTTTCCAAACAATGTATTGAAGGCATTGTAGGAAGCAAAGAAGCTGTTTGAAATTCCTATCCCCAGAGGATCCAGTGTACATAGCTGACACTTGGTACCAGGGTTATAGTTCAGCTGTTTCATTGGCAATAATTGAGAAATATAGGTGCAAAGCTAAGATTTCCTGTACAATAATAAAAATACTTCACCTTAGAGCTAATCTGTTGTCAGTAGAGTCAAATATCGCAAAGCTGTGAACCTTGTGTTGTCAAGGCTGGTGTTTAGACTGTGTATGTGTTTATCTTATGGCATGTCACATAATGGAGTGTGACTATAGATGAGGTTTGGTATAGTAATTGGATTTGTTGAACTCTTACAGATCCATGACTGCAAGTAATTATAACCATTTCACTAATTCACACACTTTACAGTTCACTAGAACAGATGCTTAAATCTTATCAGCTTGCTGTGTCTTTACCAGTCTTCTGGTAATTGCTTCCCATGGCAGATATTTCCCATTTATGGCATGCAGCTGCAAGACACATGACAAGAATGAATGATTATGTAATGCAGAACAACTTTATGAAGATGTGGGCATCATATTTTTACATAAAGAATAAAAAAAATAAGAACAAAACAAAAGAAGTACAACTTGTTTTTTAATCATTTTAACACCTGACATTGCACTGCTTGAAAATGTGTTATTTCTGTATAAAAATGAAGTTAATTTATTTTGTTCATTATAAAAATTGTACTAGTTACAGCATTTTTAATAACATGCTTAAAATTGTTCAAAACCCCCCACCCCCAGCACTGGGTATTTAAACCCAGTACAGCTCTACCCTTAGACCATTAAAATACCCTGGCAATCGAAGGATAAAGAACAATTTCAAAAGTATGTTAGTACCCATCTGTGTATGTTTCTGGTAGAATGCATTCCTTGTCTAAGATTTTTTGGTGAAATGTGATGTCAGTTTGTAAACTGTTCTTATCTGCTCTTCAAATAAATTTTATGGAGTTGAATGCATTATACATAGGTAAGTAAATAAGTAAGTTACAAATGGATGCAGAACTTAAACAAATAAGAGTACTGATTTTGAAAAATGCTTTTATTTCTCAACATAATTTCCCTGTACACTGAGACACTTGTCCCATCGTTTCACAAGCCCCTGAAAACCAGCAGCATAAAATTCTTTGGGATGCTCTCGGAACCAGGCAGTGACTTCCCTTTCAACATCTTCCTCGTTGGGAAAATGTTCAGCCAAAAGATAATGTTGAAGAGGGCCGAACAAATGGAAGTTGCATGACAGGTTAGGTTTTCACAAAGTCTGTGCATGATGGGCACCACGCATGCTGACCCCACAACACAAAATGCAAAGAATGGGCCTGGCATTACAGCATCTCAATCGCTACCATGATGAAGGACACAATATGCTAACACGAATTGTCACATGTGATGAGTCTAGCTCCAAGCGACTTCCATTTGTTCGGCCCTCTTAAACATCATCTTTCAGCTGAACATTTTCCCGACGAGGAAGCTATAGAAGGGAAAGTCACCACCTGGTTCCAACAGCAGCCCAAAGAATTTTATGCTGCTGGTTTTCAGGGGCTTCTGAAGCGATGGGACAAGTGCCTCTGTGTACAGGGAGATTATGTTGAGAAATAAAAGCATTTTTCAAATCATACTCTTATTGGTTTAAGTTCTATATCCATTTGTAACGTACTTATTGACTTACCCTTGCAATTAAAATGAAATAGCCTTGAGAAGTTTGGTCACAATCACTGCCATCCTTATGGAAATGGTTGGGAAATGAATATAAATAACTTGTCATTAAAATTCGCTAATTAATGTGATTCAACAGCAATAACAGCTACTCAGATTTTAATAACAGATAAATATAACATACAAAATTATACTTTGATGTGAATACATATCACGCATGACCAACCAACAACATTTGAAACTAGAACAATAGAAACTGTAATTAACAATAACAACAATAATAATAATAGTAATTAATTTTAAGCTACATATGACATATATCTTGCATTAATGCTATAAAAATGCATATGACCTTCCGCCTAAAATGTAAATGTTGGTCAGTGTAGGAGAAAAAGATAGCAGAAATAGTAGAGTGTGAATGTAAAATGATTACCTGTTGATGGCCATACATTGGTGATACATGTTTTAAAGTACGAAACAGTATAAATTTGTTTAATTTGTACAGGAATTGTGTTGACAGAACCTGTAATAAATAGTTCACACACAATATGACGGTGAAATACAATGTTACTAATAATAAATCATTAGTTAACCTTTGATTTATCTTTCTGCCTTTAGCATTTCCATTCAGGCTTTTAACTTTACAGAAAAATAGTTTAATGTATTTGCAGTATGCATTAATGCAGGCAGTTCTAAAAGTAATATCTTGAAATAAAAGCTGCAGTGAAGAATTAATCTATGTGTTGTGAACATAAACCATGTATTTTTAATTGAATTATCTGGGATAACAGGAAAGTTGAAATTATGTATATAACATACATTCTGGTTAGATGAACAAGATGAGTCTGAGGTATATGTAAAAATTTTTGAATATGAGTGCCAGTGGAATATGATTGAGCGTAGTTGAGAAATTTGATTGGGTGCTGGTTTTTGGTTGGTATGCTCAACAGTTCCAAGGGAGAACCCATTAGGTTTGTGAGATGAGGTCTTGTGTTCAGGATCCTATTGGCTGTGAGTACAGCAGGTGCAATTGTAGGGTGATGGCAATACTACAGTTTAGGAGCATGGCATGACAGTAGTTTCAGAACTAAATAATAGTATTTCCAAAATTTATTCTTCCCTTAATTTCCCAATTAACTTAATTCCTATTTGTTAGTGTTTTTCTGGAATATTTAAATACTGAGACATTAAATGCTTCATTACATATAGTTATTCTAAGCCTTTCTGTTTTTTGTTGCATTTCATGTTCTGCATTTAATTCTGTCAGTATTTACTTCAAGACCAGTTTACTGAAATGTATTTTACAGCATACCACATTTTTCTGATCCTGCCTACAGGTGAACAACTTTTGCATGTAACTGTAGCTTTCATTGCAGAATCTGATAAGTATTGATTTTTGGACTGTGTCAGGTGTTGGAATGTCTGCAGATGAATAAACCAGAACTCACAAATGATTGTCACAAAGCAATTTTCAATGTTGAGAAGGAGGAACTACAGGACAGCTCTGTGGATTACACACTATTGACCACATGCAGACATATGATTCGTCAGTTCTGTCATGAAGAGGACCGATCACAAGCACTTGTATGTCTCAAGGTAAATATGTGCATTATGTATGCAGTAATAAATTGTACAGGGTACATTCAAAATCAGAAAAGGATGATACACTCTATTTCATAATTTGATTGAGTAGCTGTACATTGCTTCAGAAAGGATGGTTTGACATCACTTAAGCACAGCATTTTCCTGTGGAACATTGTTTTTCAAATGCCTAGTGCTCATAGGAGATTGGTAATCACTGGTCTTACCCCCTACTCTCTCTTTAGTTGAGATTGGTATAGATGTTCTTGCATGTTAGATGTTTTTATCGTTTTTTATGTGTGAGTGATGTAACATACATTATTTGATATTGTATTGTTTATTGATAATATCCATTCATATGCATTGTTTTTATAAACTGGATGCATTTTAAAAGATAAATGGTTAATAAGTTTTCATCTAGTATTTAAGTCTTGTTGTAGTCACATTTTATTATGTTTAGTGACTGTGTTTTCTGTGTTTTATATTATGTTATTTTGACTTGTTCCAGTGATTGGTTGGAACATTTGTTTTGATTTTTGACATATTCTATATCCAGTGGTGTGTCAACTTTTTTCCTGCCCTGTAATTGGATCTACTTGAATATAAGAATAAATTATTTATTTAAATTATTTAATGAAAAGAGTGAATCATATCCACCCTTGCACTGCAGCCGACTATAACCTGTTGTTCATCATCTTTCTGAATTAGCCCTCTAGCTGAACCTCAGTTTGAATGGAACACAGTTCTTTGATTAATGGAGCCCTTTGATAGCTACTTCAGGAAATAGAGTCTCGAGTGATGAGATCTTAATTATCTACCATTTAACAGTCACTTAGGACACATGATGCTATTTCATCTTTGTTGCACCACCATTTGCAGGTAGGACTGTTCTATAGTCCCAGCTTGAAAACTGTCCTTTCAAGTGAAACATTCCTATGAGTGGTCCCAGTAATTACCCAGTCTTTTCAGCAGAGGGTCTACTAAGAAGGCCCCAATGTGCTTTTTGGCCAGGTGTGGACTGTTTGAGTATTTATGGTGATCTCTATTTACCCAGTCCTTGTAGGGCCACTTAGCAACTCTCAGAGATGCCACATGCAAGTTCAGGTCCTGTGAATGTCAATATCCTGCTCTTGCCATCTGGTCAGCAGTCTCATTCCCCTTAGTTCATGTTCTGGTACCCATAATCATTTGCACCTTATAATTTTCAGTGATCTGTATTGGGGATTGTTGGTAATCTCAGCCAGGTTTAGAACTGGTATGGTAGTTTTTAAGTGACTTGATCATAGTCTGTCTGGTAGAATACAGATGTTTCTATCCTCAGCTGCACATGCCTTATTGGCATAGCTTCTGCCTGGAATTGTGAGGTGTATCATCCAAGGCTGAAGCTGAGCTTCTTCCTTACCCCAGTGGCAATGCCTTCATTTGTTTTGGGCCCATCTGTATACCAGACTAGGCTCCCTTTTTCCTTTGGCTGAAACCTGCACTCCACTTCACTTCTCTCAGGGAATCTGACTGAATGGTCTGTTACGTATGTATCTTGGTACAGTTATGTCAGTCACGATTTGTAGCCCTGGAATCCTTCTTAATGTACCAAGATGTGAGCATGCCCATACCATTCAGATGTGGGCTTCCATTAACTATTGCAGAAGAATCTGTATATTCCTGCTTGGACCTTGGTTTCCAGCTTCAAATATGGTGGAAGACCTGATCTCTCTTTACCTTACTCATGGCCAAGATGGGAGGGCTCTGCTGGATGAGTGGATGGACACACACACACACACACACATGCATGCACATCCCCCTCCCTCCCTCCCTCTCTCTCAAGATAGGGACCAGTGGATGGTTCTTGTGAACATGGTAATGAACCTTCAGGTTCTATAACATGCTGGGAAGTTCGTGAGTAGCTGCACAATTGGAGGCTTCTCAAGAAGGGCTCAGCTCCATGAAGTTAGTTTGATAGTGGATTATGAAGAAATGAGAGAAATCAAGTGAGCTTAATGCTGATAAAGCATGAAATACTCCAATCCACAGCTGCTCTTCTTAGAACAAACACATAATTGGAAGAAGGCTTAAAACTGCAAGAGATTTTGTAGTTATATTAAGTATATATGCTCTACTAGAAAGGAAAGAGGAAGGTACTATATAATTTTACATAATATTATGAAGAATAATGGATTAATTAAATCTGACATGTTGGTACTATGGGAAATTTTATTGTAAATACTGGCCACAATAAACTCAAAGGAAATATTAGCAGAATTGGGGATATGTATCAATAATGGGGGGAAACTGATTTATTTTGTTTTATACTGTAATATGAAAATAACAAATAGAATTTTCCAAAATATAAATAGACAAAAATGTGCATATATCTTCCTCTAGAGGCTCACACACCCATATAATTTTAAATCAAATGACATCTGATTTCTTGTTAGGTACTCAAGTTCATAGAGACCCAGAGATGACCCAGGTTTTCAAGATACAGTTCTTCAATTTCATGTTTAGAAAAATTGTGTAGTACATATTATGAATTTGCTGAGTGCATAATGCTTTCTGATGGTGAGGACAGTGATTTTGCAATACACTGTAAAATCATCCAATGTGAGCATGATCTGGCAGCTCAGCTTACCCTAGTGATACGGTCACTTTGATATTAAAGAAGAAGGAAGGAAAGATTCCCTAAACTGCAAAAGCAAACACAACACTCACGACCCCTTCAAAGGGATTTAGATACGCTGGTCCTACAGTAGACTAAACATGCACATTGTTTATTTTCTTTATATAGAATTCAGTTTTAATTAGTTCAATTTCAAAGTCCTTCAGAGTTATTACAATTACATTTCTCTCTGTTTAATGATAATAGCCTGAAATATTTAAAATTATTTAACTCCAATTGTCATATTCATTTATTTGTCAGTCTTCTAAATCCTGCATAGTGCAGTATAGTGAATCTTGGTGCCAGAACTGAATGCTGAGGCGTACAGCCTTGTTGGCTTCAATTTCTTACTGATGTGCAATGGATCTTTTGCAGAGGTACAAAGATGAAACTACATTTGACCCAAAGTGCAAAGGGATAGTGGTACGTCGCATGATTGAGCAAAGCCATGATTATCGTTTCAACCCAATGCTACAAAAGGGATGCCATGTTGATATATCAAAATTTTGCTCTGAAGTCATTGCCAAAGAGCCACAGGATAAGGAATTGGAAGGAAAGGTTGTCAAATGTCTGAAGGTAGGGATTTTTCAAAGAGTACTTCATTGTAATAAGTTAACATGGCTATTTGCTAATGTCGCAGTTGCAGGAGCACGACACAACAAAAGCACAACACACAAGATAGTGAAGGAGTGCTCCAACAAAGGAGAATGGGCGTGACTGACGTAGTGAGGGGCGACGTAGCGATGTGGTATCCTGAACAATTTTAATATTTTTAACGTTTTTAACGTTTGACAATGTATATGATAGATACATATTTTAGGTATTTTAATGTGTGAACATGGCATGCAATGAACTGGTTTGACGTGGATAAGTAAGCACCTGAAGATGGCATTATTATGCCGAAACATGTAGTGCGGGGGAGAGAAGGAGATAAATGAGTGTATGCACTGCAAGACGGATTAAATAAATCATGGCTATTTGCTCTGATATTATTAGTCATCAACATTCATCATCATTTTTGCAGTGAAGTAACAATAACCATGATCTCAGAGTAACTTTGTCTTTCAAGTGTGACTAAATTTAAATAAATAGAGCACTTATTGTGTTTTCACTAGAATTGGCAGCTGAGTGACCAGTCAGCACAGAGGAGGTCTGCTGATAGCAGGAACTGAATCCGTTAGAAGGGTGATAGAAATATATGAAGTTAAACTCCACTATTGCAAGTTTGCATCTTTTCCTTGCATAGTGCTGTAACCTTAAAAGAAATACCTTGATTTGCATGCCCAAGCTCTCAAATCAATATACAGCATTCACAAGTTGAGAGAGAGTCCAGAAACAAAAGACCACTCATATCCTGTCCATATGTTGAGCATGTGATACCAGAAAGTGAATTGAACAAATGATATTGCAGGAAAGTTGCTGTGGTGTGAAAATATGTAGATCTGCATCATTTGTGTCCTGTAGTATGTCCAATGTTGATCGCATTGGCCGAGCAGTGTAAGTCATGAACTATCTTTGCCTGCTTGAACACTGGGGTCATGGGTTTTAATCCTACTCGAACATGGATATCTGTATCCATTTATTCTACACTTATGTTGTTCTGTGTGTAGGTAGCGGCCTTGTGATGGGCTCATCCCCCATCCAAGGAGGCCTACCGACTGTGTACAGGATTAAAAAACTGAAAAAGCAGGTAAGGCCCAAAGGGCTGTAGAGTCAGAAAGAGAGAGAATGTCTCATTCCTTTACCTTTTGTATAATCTAATTAAATAAAACAGATTAGAATGAGTATAATACATTTAATATTATTATTAAGTTGGCTATGTGCCTGGGTGCAGGAGTAGCCACAGGATTCTACTGTTAAAAGTGTAAGGGTAGTAGTATACAACATTGCCTGTAAGTCTTATTTCAAACTTACAATTATAAAGTAGTGTTGGATAACTTTATCATCACCAAGTATTGTTGCTCTTTGAGTTCTTCCCTTGGACTGGTGCAAAAGCAAGTATGAAACAGACATTTTGTAGATCAAACAGGACAGTCGCTTCACAAAAATGTCTTATTGATTTTCCATCCTCAAGTTAGTGGAGAAGGGAAATAAGATGCAAGCTTGGCTACAATAATACATGGATGTTTAGTGGACATTGTAAATGCAGTATAACAACAGCATCACACTATTTAAAAAGAAACTTTCATTGAGGAGTAAAGGTAAATCTGTTTGCAGATTATAGCATGGGGACAATCCCCACCATCCCCAAGGTGAGAATGCCACTACTAACTATGAACATCATAAATTGACCATTCAGTACATATATTTTCTGCATTCCAGACTAATTGATTCCAGGTATTTTGAATTACTTAGAGAACTGAAAGATTTTAATACATTTGAAATGGTTAAGTTAAAAGGAAAAAATAAATTCTCGGTTTTCTTTCCTGCAGACAAAATTCCGGGAGCGTAAACTAAGATTAGAGTGTGAACAACAGGTGGCTACAATTCTGCGTGAAGCAGCACTCAACTATCAGCTGAATCCCCTTCTGGCAACCATGTGCAAGAATGAGGTAAATGTGAAAATATCAGTACTTTCTTTTTTAATTTCACTGCTGTGGATTAATAGTTGTTCTCCAGTACTGCATAATATAATCAGTGTACTCACACATTCTCCTCTTATCTACTAGAACTTTAATTACATTCTACTAAATAGGAACAGAAGTAATTAATAACTATGAAAATTTTCATCCAGTCTATGTTTCCAAAAAATGTCAGTTGTCAAATGAAACCTTCATGTTTTATGTCATCACATGTTTGCATGTCATATGATGTATGTGTACAGTGGAACCTCGGTATATGAGAATTTATGAAATCCCAGAAAAATTCTCAGTGTAACAGATACTTGTAATAACAGAAAGTGGTTTAAATATGTAACTACAAGTACATCCCCTTAACTTTTGATTATGCATTCAGTGTAGCAGTAAAAGTAAAATAGTAAAGTTATCCCTGTAACAGGCCATGAAGGCCCATAGGGTTGTGAGACGTTAAGGGTCCCACATTACCTTGACAATCGGCTCAAAGATGGTGGGAAGGTTGTCAGCTTTACGCGCTGGCCGCGCTTTACTCCCCAAGAAAATCATCTAATTAATTGCTGGTACTCATTTCTGTTAGAGGATGAGTAAACCCCAGGGCCTAGTGCGGCCGGAAGGATTAGGTCAGTTGCATTCAGTGTAGCACTTAGGTTTAAATAATAAGGCATATATGGCAATACTTTTTCCTCTTTTATATTGTCGCTTGTTGCCTAGCTACCGCAACAAATGACTTCACGCAGGTTTTTGATTATTGGTTTATTGAACGCTCACTTTTACACTAGCGAGTACAATTATTATCACTTTTACTGCTTCTGTGAACGGAACTGTTCTCGGTGACCGCTAGAACTTCACTGTCTATATCCCGACCACTGCTAATGCTCTAATGCTTTAATCTGGTATATTCAACCGCCTTACTACGCCTTATGCGGACCACTTCCAGAACACCGTTCTCAACAGTTCGGTTTTGCTGTTGTTGTCCAGCAACCCTCTCGTGTCTTTCATCTCCAGGGAAACGCGTTTGTTGTCCTTTCATCTCTGGGAAAACGTGTTTGCTGTCCTTTCCTCTCTGGGGAAACAACATTTGTTGCTTAAGGAATTCCCAGGCAACGGCCCACTGTTATTGCGTTTTCCTGGTCCCCTCCTTAAGGCTGTTTGTCCTGAACAGCCTAACTGTGTTTCCTTTTCCTTCATTTCCGGGAATTCCTGCTACCGACATCTGCATTTGGTCTCACTGTTTTTCACGCATCCTTTGCGGTGTTCATTCTACTGCATCCAGCCCTTCCTTCAGGGGTGCTCGTCCTGAGCAGCTTCATGGTAGGGTGTGAGCCAGTCCAGTTATACTACCAGTCATTCCATGTTTTCATCATCATTCATTCTCCAGTCATGCCAGGGAGGCTGGTGCTTCTACATTACCGGTTCCTCCTCTGTGTGCTATATTTTTTTTCTTCGTTTCGGAAGGGGTCGACCCCTCCACAAGGTCCAATCCCTGTTTTGTCATAGGCTGACAGAGGAGCCAGCTATTCGCTTCTCGATCTCCAGTCCAGCCATCTTCCCGTATGTCCTGTTAGATTATTTCTTTTCCAGTCATGGCTGCTGTCTTCCGCCCCATCCTCCGATATTGTTTATGGTTTTCCTCCCTCTTCTTGGATGTAGCGGCTCTTCTACATCTTGGCTCCATATACCCTTGCTGCATTCCAGTTTTGGCTGACGTCTCCTCCCGAACGTCTGTCCCTTCCGAACTTGTTGTACCACACTGGGCTTGGTACAAACTTTTCTGGCTATTTTCCTCTTGTGCCATGCCACAGTAGTGCCAAAGTAGTTACAGAAGACATTTTTAATGCAACAATTTTGAATAAGTATTTGCAGGAAATTAATTATGGAGTTAGGGTAGTAAACTTTGCCACATCCAAAAATTGATTGTCAGAAGTACGTTCCCACATTGTATCATTCATAAATTCACTTTGACATCTCCTGAGAGACTGAACAATCAAATTAGCCATATTTTGATAGACAAGAAATGACATTCAAGTGTACTTAATTTCATCAATATATACTCACAGAAAAAGGAACAGTGCAAGTTTTCTTAGGTTATTATATACCGTATATTCCCTTTTTCTTAAACTTCATAAACAGTGTTGAAATTAATCCCTACCTCCTTCCTGTTTCACTTTTTGAAGATCTACCAACTTCACACATGTATTGTTTCAAGTTTCATATTCATTCAGATCTTAGTCATTCTGTTTCATGCCATAATTAGAGTTTTTAAAAATTTTGCATTTCATGCCAGCCAGAGCATAGTAGATGTTTGATGGAAGCAGAGGTAACTGTAGTTAAATGCTTAACTCTTCTGAACAGAATAGGCAGAACAGACTCCCAGAACTTACTGTACAATAGAAACTGAAAGGATGTAGAAATGTAGGAAGATCAAAATGTGCCTATGAAATTGTGCTAAGTACAACTACGTAAATATGCACCAACTTCTAGATACACAACATGTGTCGGTTGGAGGATGAGACAGAGGATGGCTCAGGTGCAGTGGAGGAATGTCTGAAGATGGCTTTCAACAATCATCGCATCATGAACCCTAGTTGCGAGCTGGAGATTGCAAGTCTTATTGAAGAAGCAAAGGCAGACATACATGTAGACCCTTTGCTGCATCAGACTTGTGGTGTAGATGTATCCAAATTCTGTCGTGACATACCTCAGGGAGCTGGTCGCCGTAAGTGTTAATTTAAGTTATGCCTTACAATGAAACTAAAACATAGAGTTTTGTTATGAAATTAAACGCAGAATGACTTCAGTATCAGCTTTTTATTTTGTAAAAGTACAAGTAATGTTTTATAAGTAACAGTATGTAATTACCTACCTACCACTTGGCGCTACAGCCTTGGGTGAGCCTTGGCCTCCTCTACAACCATTCTCCAACAGTAATTAATTGGCAAATCCATATTGTAATCTTATTTTAAATAAAATATTTTTAACATCTCAAAAAAATAAAAATATCTCACATATTATTAGGATTATCGTGTTTCAGTCTCTTGTTGTGTGTGAGCAACCTATTATTGGTTCTATCACCACAGTTTGTGTATAAACTTTATGTTATTTTACAACATATTTCAGCTGTTTATGGCCATCATGAGGTAAAATACTTGCACTCACCATGTACTTTGCTGCTGTTTCCCCCCACATTGGCCAATTTTACAACTGGGCGAGATCATATGTGTTATATGTCAATGATAATGCCAACATATGATTGATCTTCAAAAAGTTTATGCATTTTTTATTTTACAACTCTGTTTTATTGATGGACCACCTTTGTGGTCTAGTGGTTCCTGGCTACAGATCCAAAGGTCCTGGTTCGATTCCCAGTGCTATCAGATTTTCTCAGAAGTTTTGGGTCTGGAACGGGGTCCATTCAGCCTCATGAGGATAATTTAGGAGCTATTTCAAGGAAATAGCGTCTCTGGTCTAGAAAACAGAAATTAACAGCCATGAGGATTCATTGCACTGACCATGCAAATCTGCTAAAAGTTGGCACTAACTTCGCCGACAAGCGGCGGTTGCTTGGTCGGTCGGTATAGTTCACTAGAGGACTAGAACCATGGAGTTTGTTTTTTATTTGTTTTAACCCCATTATTATAAAAACAAAATCCATCATTTTTCTACATATTCGCCCTGCTTTTCAACATATTTTTCTGATCATCCTACCTATTTTTAATGCCATCATAATAGGCTTTGGTTGCACACGTAGCCACTGATGCACCACATTCTTTACGTTCTTCACATCAAAATCTTCTCCCTCCTAGAGCTTCTTTAAGTGATCCAAAAGGTGAAAATAACATGGTGCCAAATCTGGACTGTGAGCTGGATTTTCCATGACTTCCCACTTCACTTTCCTGAGGCTTTCCAATGTGCGGGCTGCAGTATGGGGACAGGTGTCAACATGCAACAACAGGATGCCCTCTGGCAGTCACCCTCTTCTTTTAGAACAAATTGCAGGCATAGCCCTCTCTGAAGTACATCACAGTAGGTGGCACTTATGACAAGGTCTCAAGAATAGGCCCTTGAGAATTCCAGAAAATGGTCAACATCAATTTGCCTACTGATGGTTGCATCTTGAATGTCTTAGCAACAGGAGATGATGGATCTTTCCATTGCATGCTCTTCCACTTGGTTTCTGGTTGATAGTGGTGAACCTAGGTTTCATCACCTGTGATGATCTGTTGCAGACAGCTGTCAGCCTTTTCATGATAATGAGCCAAATGGCAGGAACAAATGTCTTAAGTCAATGTGTGTATGTTCATCTGTCAGTTCCTTAGTTGGCCACCTGGCACTGAAGGTTATCGTGCACCACAGAATAGGCAGACCGAGTGCTGATATTTAGTTGTTTTGCAGTTTTGTTGACCATCACTCTTCTATTTTGAAGAATGTTTCCTAGCTCTTTCCTCATTCTGTGTTGTGAAATCCAAAGAAGTGAAAACCAGGTGATCTAATTCATGATAGAATAGAAAGGTCTGGCAGAATCTTCTAAGGAAGGCTGTGGCTCAAAAAGAAGCCTGTTTTGCTGATGATGATGATGATGGAATATTTACTGAATAAGTATTATAATGACCACATGGTTTGGAAAGTTATTTTTATGGAAACCAAGTGGTTAGGAAAGGAGGTAATGAAAAACATTTAGCAGTAATGTGGGTAGGAAAGGAAGTGAAGAGAATTTCTAGTGCCTGGTGCAGTTATATTTTGGTGGTTTATTAAGTGTTTGAATGGTAGATATGGAGGAAACAGGCAGAAGCCAGGCTTTATCCATCTTCATGGCTAATGTTATGAGGGTATTTCATTATTTCAGTAGCTTTCCTGAAGATAAAGGGATAGTAGATCCCAGAGGTGGCTGTAACCTCTTTTCTGTCAAGATTGGTGCTTGTTTAGTGTCTGTGGGCTATTGATGACTGGTTCTCCACTCTGGCATTCCTAATGTTTTCAGATATAAACGTATCTGGCTGAAGTACACCTTAGCACATGAGCATGGTATCTTGGAAACACCTGAATTTTGACTTGGGAGTTTTCTGTCCTTGGCAGATGTGAAGTAGGATGTCATTTTGTTAAATGGTTTCTGGATTGTATGGATACTTCTTTTCTTCAATGGCCAGGAGTTGTGGTCAGTTTTACCTTGGATGTATGTCCTATTTGGGCCCTCTTCATGTTGTTTTTTTCTTTTGGAGGAGGGGGGGGGGACATCTGGTCCTGTTTGCTGTGTTGATGTCCTGCAGGGAGTAGCCATTATCTCAGAGAACAGCATCAACATGTCAGAGATTGTTCTAGCTCTAAACATGGGGTTGCAAAAACATTTTCTTCATTTCCCTCTATGACCACTTGATCTCCAAAAAATCCTTTAGTTGCCTCTTTCTCTCAACCATGTGGTCACTATCTACTGGATAGCAATCTTCTTCATGCTTTCATCCAACCATGCCTTCACCTCTTTCCCACTCTCCACTGCCAGGTATAAGGGCTTCTGAATACTACCACCGCCATCCCAAAGTGTTTCCAGGTGTGGGAAAACCATCAGCATTCTGTGCACCTTATTCCTGAAAAAATGAAGGCATGCAACTTGGGAACAGGCTGCATTACCTTGAATTACAAGAAAGAAACAAGTTATTGCCAAACTTCCTGGTATTAATTGCAATTTTGAATTGTAATTTTGTGGTGTGTTTTATATTGTGTAGACATCCAGTGCCTGCAGAATGTGTTAAAGGACCCAACGAAGTCATTACAACATGATTGTTATACAATGCTGACAAAAAGAATAGAAATGTTTAAAAATGCTGCTGTGGTGAGTAGAATGTTACAGGTTTTATTTTATTATTTATATCAAAATATGGCAAATTTGTAACATTTTGGACAGTAAAAAATAATGATAAAAATTCATGATGAAATTAAGAGAGAATTAATATTTTCATCTTTCCATTTTTGTCTAAAGCATAAAGATTTTAATTGTTTTATATGGGTGTGAGTGACACTTGATCTGTCACCATGAGGGAAGAACACAGATTGAGCATGCTATGGAATGTAAGAGCTGAGGGGAATATTTTTATCAAAGAGAGAGGAAGTAACAGGATGGTGAAAGAAATTCCGCAGTAAGAAGCTCATTATTTGTGTGCTTCACCAGGTACTAAAAGTGTGAGGATGAGATGGGCAGAATAGTAGTGAATGGGGGAAGTAGAAAATGATACAAAATTTAGGTCAGAATGCCTAAAGGATAGAAACCACTTAGAACACCTGGGTATAGATGGGAGGATAATATTTTAGCATGTAGAGCAGTTGCTAAATGGTGACTCTGTAATCAGTGGCCGTTGCTAGGTAATGGCCGCAACATTAATTGGATTCAGCTGGCTCAAGATATGAATGAATGTATAAGAGATGGGCCTTCTTGGCCACAGTGATCTATTGTGCCTCCCCTTCTGATTATCCCCTCAGTAATCCTGTGCTTCGAATGAAGCATAGGATTTTGTACGTGGGGATGTTGAAATAGTCACTAGGTTCCATAAAATATTGACCCAAGTGACGCAATCTCAAATAAGCTAAGGCCTCACATTCACACAAGATATGTGTGGCTGTTTCATTTTCTTCTTGACACCTCTCACAAGTTGGACTATGACTGAGTCG